TATCACCCCATGTAAAGTTATTCGCAGCATCTTTTGTAGTTAATTTGGTCAAGGACTAGCGGTGATCGCATAGTTCTTCACGAACTTTCTAAAAAACCCTGTGAGACCCAAGAATCGTCGTACCTCGGTCGCGTTAGTCGGTACCGGGAATTCACGGATCGCCTTCACTTTACACTCGCCGGGCGTAATACCATTAACGTTCACTTTATGACCGAGGAAGTTTATTTCTGTGGCCAGAAATTTGCACTTATCTCTCCGCAAAGTCAAATCGGCCTGTTCAAGCAAAGCTAAAAATTCGCAGTGTTTTTAGGCCATCACTCACAGTTACACTCGGTATTATTACATCATCGAGATATGCGATCACTTTCCTCGGTTTCATTTTAATGCATAGTTCATTCATCATGGTCTGGAATACCGCCGGCGCGTTTACGAGACCAAATTGCATACGATTATATTCGTAATGACAATCATTAGTAACGAACGCGGTGAATTGTTTACTACTCTCTTCAACTTCGATTTGATGATACCCCATGTTGAAGTCTAAGACCGTAAAATAGCGATTACCCGCGAGTATAGCAAAAAGTTCGTCCATAATTGGCATAGGGAACGGCTGCTTGACTGTAACCCGATTCAACTGTCTGTAGTCAACACACATCCTATATTCGTTATTTTTCTTCGCAACCACTACTATCGGCGAAGCATACGCAGAATTAGACACTCGAATAATATCTTTTTCTAATAAGTCATGAATCATCTCATTTACTAAAGGGCGTTTTGCAAAAGGCAACCTATACGGTGTCACCATCGATTATGTATTTATTTTCACCCGAGCATAGGACATCACGCCCGAGGGGAATATCATTTTCAATCAAATTGTCATCAACAACCAATAAATGTACGCAAACGCTCGCATTATCAATTTTCATCATGACATGTATTTTGTTATAACACTCAAACACTCCGCCTCCAAAACCTTTGAGGCGCACATAGCACTTTTCCATCAAACATTGTTCTATGTTTGCCGCAACTGAGTTACGCACCAACGAGCGTGAGCTACCTGTGTCAACAAAAGCTTCGATTTCGTTGTCATGTACCAAAACTTTTTTTACCGTAAATTTGATAGGTTCGTCTTCAATCGCGTTGCACTTTGTAATATTCCAACGGACGATTTTCGGTACACGAATTCGTTGGGTTACGACCGAGAGGTTAAATGAATCTTGTCACGGTGGGGTAGGTCGGCGGGACCCATATATAAGCTAGCGAAACAGTGGCGTGGGTGGGTTCTTTGACCCTTTCACCGGATATCACCTCATATTACCGTATTACAGAATCCCTAAAGTCCCTATTATTAGCACAAAAATTTGTTGTTTAACAATTAATTGAACGGAACCAAAAACAGCATAAGATCCTGACCTAATACAGCCAAACAACCGCACCGAAAAGGTCAAGCAGCATAAGAAAATTAAAAAGGGGGTATCTTACTTTACCTTACCCTCCCAACCTGGTCTTCACATGTATGGCCTTTTGAAGACCCCTACTACTAATTACGCTACCCTAACGACACATCTCACCAAGGAAACTAGATAATTTAGCTTTAATAATTCATAATAGATATTTTATACTATAATTTCATATGATATAATATAATATATATATAATAACAATTGCATGATAAACAATTTTTAATGACCGTTTCCCAAAACTTAGTAGGTAGAGTCGTTGAAAGTTCTAATTGTTTATAGATCTTAACAGCATTTAAGACGAAAATTTAATCAATTAAGTAACAAAAATTTTACCATATTAGTTCCAAGTCTTATATTCTAACAAAATTTAACAAATTCAAATAGGTAATTATTAATTACAACTTATAGCAACTACGTTTACCCTGTAAATAATCGTAAATATTTTACTAATCATACATTATATATTGAAGAGGATTTCTGTGTTCATATTGGTTTGCTTTTGTGGTAATACATTTACTATTCCTAACTTGACTTTAACTTGAGTTAAATGGTTATTGTTTTTATGTATGTTTTTAAGTATTATATATGTATATCAAAAGTAATTCGAATTGGTTTAGTTAGCACAGAAAAAAAAAAACAAAATTTTCAACAGCGTAACGGTGCCGAAAACTCTTCGAGCAAAAATGAAAGCGCGATGAATGAAAAAGATATCGAAAAAAAAAACCAAAGAAAATTTGCTCTGCAGCTTAACTCAGGGAATCTCTTTATACATACTTGCACACGTTATATATGTAGCGTTGCATGTGTTAAGCTGTTTGACAGGCAATAACATAGCGCGCCGCTGTTAAGTGATATGAGCTAACCGTGAGATTTTCGGTTGAGTACGCTTAACAGAGACTCGCTATGGTATAGTACAATAAAAGAAAATTTAAATGTTAACTCACCAAAGCCTTGACGTCGGGACGATGTTGAAAGCGCTTCCAAATCGATGATACTCGTGCAAAATTCGGTTCTTGGTATGTTTATGTAACAAGTATTTTTAAATGATTTTTATTCTTTTTGAATACCCTATATTTACTTAATTTATATTGCCGTTAGCGTGAAGAACGTACGATTTGGAGGTATGACTTTTCGACACCACTACCGTTAGTAGGAAAACTGTACTACCAAAAGCTTGCATTCGATTTTCTAAATTTAAACAAACTGACTTGCGTACTATTTCATATGAACATTTTACACTTTGAAAAACTTTTAAATTTCGTTATGCTGTGAGCACTGTTTACGCCCTATGCAACTTTTGTATAAATTTCTATGGAAATTAGAGCAATTTTTGCACTATTTCACCACTGTCCATATAAAGGGTGATTTTTTTGAGGTTAGGATTTTCATGCATTAGTATTTGACAGATCACGTGGGATTTCAGACATGGTGTCAAAGAGAAAGATGCTCAGTATGCTTTGACATTTCATCATGAATAGACTTACTAACGAGCAACGCTTGCAAATCATTGAATTTTATTACCAAAATCAGTTGGCAGAAAATCCGCTTTTTTATCGACAAATTTTGTTCAGCGATGAGGCTCATTTCTGGTTGAATGGCTTCGTAAATAAGCAAAATTGCCGCATTTGGAGTGAAGAGCAACCAGAAGCCGTTCAAGAACTGCCCATGCATCCCGAAAAATGCACTGTTTGGTGTGGTTTGTACGCTGGTGGAATCATTGGACCGTATTTTTTCAAAGATGCTGTTGGACGCAACGTTACGGTGAATGGCGATCGCTATCGTTCGATGCTAACAAACGTTTTGTTGCCAAAAATGGAAGAACTGAACTTGGTTGACATGTGGTTTCAACAAGATGGCGCTACATGCCACACAGCTCGCGATTCTATGGCCATTTTGAGGGAAAACTTCGGAGAACAATTCATCTCAAGAAATGGACCGGTAAGTTGGCCACCAAGATCATGCGATTTGACGCCTTTAGACTATTTTTTGTGGGGCTACGTCAAGTCTAAAGTCTACAGAAATAAGCCAGCAACTATTCCAGCTTTGGAAGACAACATTTCCGAAGAAATTCGGGCTATTCCGGCCGAAATGCTCGAAAAAGTTGCCCAAAATTGGACTTTCCGAATGGACCACCTAAGACGCAGCCGCGGTCAACATTTAAATGAAATTATCTTCAAAAAGTAAATGTCATGGACCAATCTAACGTTTCAAATAAAGAACCGATGAGATTTTGCAAATTTTATGCGTTTTTTTTTAAAAAAAAGTTATCAAGCTCTTAAAAAATCACCCGTTACCTTTACACTACAACTATATTTAACGTTTACGAGCCGAGTGGAAAAAGTTATATCCGATTTGGCTCAGTTGAGTAGGTTTTGAATATTTTCTACTGTTTGGCACTTTTCCTATTTTAAACCAGGTAGTTTTTATTTTTACTTTTGGGTTATCTTGTGAAAATTTGCCGCCGGGCGTTGGTAATGCTTTCGCGACGCTAAAACTAGCACGTTACCGAGGTGAGACTCTCCCGAAGCCGATGCTTGTACTGAGCAGCGGTCTGGGGATTCTGCCTGATGCGTGCCTGTTGCTCTGTATCGTATTTGTCCAAAGCGTGGGAGAGCCTTTAATGCTTCTTTTGAAGTCCCGTATTGGTTTTGTGCAATGTTGTGACGGCTTCTAATGCCTTGGTAGTTCTCCAACTTTTCCAACGAAGTTGCAGTGCACAAAGCACTGAAAAATCAAGATTGGTGTGCACCTTCCAGGCAAATTATACTCACAACACCTACGTGTGTCATTGTCCTTTTTATCAAGAAAAAAGCCTAAGACAAGGAATTGATTGCTTAAAACCAGCTTGGTTGCAAATAATAAAATAGCTACACTTAAATAACTAATACTAATAATAATAATTACTTACGAGCTCGTAGCAAGCGAAAACTGTTGATAGCAAAATTTATGTTACTGATTGAATAAATTAATATGGATTTAAATATTAACTTTTTCGTCTTATCTGCTCCACGGATCGATGAGAAAAGAAGGATATAAAGGTTTTAAGACTCGACCTAAGCTAATTTGACAAAACATTACTTCCGCCTGTCAAGTAATGATTTGCAATCGATATTTGTCCTTTTATCGATATAGGTAATTTTCGGGGTATGTTAATTAGAACACCCCTGCTAAGTTGCCAAAGTTTGTTGAATCTAGAAGGGAAATATTTTAAATGGAGAATTTGCAGAAATTCTAATTGGGGGCAAAAAATATTTTAGGTGAGATAATAATTAAAGTATGCCCCTCAAATTCATGAAAAAAAAATCAGTAAGGCTTTAACAGCTCCATATATCGAAAAGGTGTAGGAAAAGGTCACTTTATAGCGCTCTTTAAATTTATTTTCTTCATATGAATAAGGCCATGAAAATATTCTGTTGTATTTTATTTTGGAAAACGTCCATTACAACTTTTCGGATTTTTGTTTTTGCCCTGTGCAATCTGTTATACGGTGACCAATTTCACCACACTTTCCACATTTTGGTTTCTGTTTCTTCTCACTACATTCCCGCGATATATGGCCGGTTTTACGACAATTATAGCAAATAATGTCACCCTTTGACTTCTTTTCATTTGTCGAACGTTTGATTTGATTGTCTTGCATTGTCTGCTTAACCGGCGCGCTATTCTTCGCGACATTATAAGCACTATAGTTTTGAATCGCATATAATAAATCGATACCTTGCCACTGATAGACACTTTTTCATATCCGTATCGTTTAACCCGTTTATGACATACTTTATGATCGCTTGGTCATCCACCCGACCTTGATGACCTTTAGCCAACACGCGATAGTAAAACATTTCAGAGGTTTCATTTACCCCTCGCCGCATACTCATTAGTTCGATATGGACGTCAGCTGAATTAATCACTGACGGAAAGTGATCAAGAAAATCTTTCACAAAATGCGACCAATTTACATACACAATTGGCGCGGAATCTATCCACATTTTTGCAGCACCCTTTAATTTTGCTTGTACTGCAAAAAGAAGTATCTTCTCTTTCCACTCATACACATGTAATAGTTGCTCGACCCGACCGACAAACTGCACCGACTACAACGATTTATCATTCGGATCAAACGATGGCAGGATTTGTATAATG